GGATGAAGAGGAGGAGGAAGATGGAAGAAGAAGAAGATGATGATGAATAAGTTGGTTTCAGCGCAGTTTTTTTTTCTTGTCTATAAAGATTTAACCCCCTGTACACAACTCACGCCTTTTAAAGAAAAAATTGAAATGGAAGGCTGTGTAAGATTTGTTTTTAAACCGTACAGTGTCTTTTTTGTGTATAGTTAAGACACTACAGAATATGTCTTTAGCTAGCCCTGTCCTGGTGGTATTTCCAATAGCCACTAACCTTGCCTGGTACAGTGTGGGGGTTGTAAATTGGCATGGAAATTTAAAGCAGGTTCTTGTTGGTGCACAGCGCAAATTAGTTATATATGGGGAGAGTAGTTTTTCATCTTCAGTTGTCTCTGATGCAGCTTATATGAAATAATTGTTGTTCTGTTAACTGAATACCACTCTATAATTGCAAAAAAAGTTGCAGCTGTTTTGTTGACATTCTGAATGCTTCTAAGTAAATACAATTATAGACTAAAAGTAAAAGGGTGGAGATCAGTATTCCAGGCAAGTGGAAGCCAAAAGAAGGCTGGTATGGCAGTTCTAATTTCAGACGATTTAGTTTTTAAACCATCAAAACTAGTGAAAGACAAAGAGGGTCATTATATAATGGTGAAGGGCACACTTCCACAAGAAGAGATAACGATGTTAAATATATATGCACCCAACTTAGGTACACCCAGTTTCATAAAGCAAACCTTACTGGATCTAAGCAAATGGATTAATAGCAACTCCATTATCACCAGTATATGCTTTGATGGGGGACAGGATGTTGAGTGGGACTTTTCCTGTTATCCCAAAATTGACAAGTAGGATCACAAAGCTGAAGAAAAGAGATTGTGACTTCCCATTTCTCTCTTCACCAAATTGAAGTGAGACAAATCCTCAGGAAGGGCTTCAGCATTGCCCAACTCCAGAATACTTTGGGAAAGGATTCTTGGAGCTGTGAAATGCAGAGGGTGCTACTCTCAGGCTTTAACAGATGATGGCCAAAAGCTCTCTTATCCCAAATAGCAGCCTTTCCCAAGCCTAGATAAACAAACAGCTGTAAGAGGAAGGAGATTTAAGTCAATCTTTAGAGTTGTGAGTAGTTAACTAAGGAATGGTGTTGTGGGGGAGGAAGAGATAGTGCATTATTTTCTGAAGGCAAATGAGAAGGACTTTGAGATTTTCTTTTTTTTTATTACCTCATATTATGGGGGTACAAATATTGTTAGGGTTACATATCTTGCCCCTGCCCCCCTGCCCCCACCCCGCTATGCCAGAGCTTCAAGCATGTCCAGCCTCCAGGTGGTATGCACCGCACCCACCGTGTAAGTACGTACCCTTCCCCTCCTCCCCCCTTCCACCTGCCCACTTCCACATTACAGATTTTTTTTTTTTAGACATTTTGGTTACAGTGTATATTTTTGCCTCTCCCTAAAAAGGGATAGAGGTAATCCCTTCCCACCCACAATGCTCACCACATCCTTGAGATGTGGGTCTCCCCCCCAAATCCCTGTTGACCCAAAGTGCTCGTCAAATCATGAGTGGATAACTACAATGTTGTAATATGCTCACAATGGAAATATTACTCAATCCTAAGAAATGACAGTGAGCTAGCACCATTTATGCTATTTCTGGATTAAGTTTAAGCCCCTAATACAAAGCAAGACGACACAAGATCTAGAAAATGGGCTACACATCTACTCGCCATCAAATTGGTACTGACTGACTAAAACTATGATGCTCAAAAAAATGGTAGTGTTCA